AACAGAACTAGAACAGTACTAGAACAAAACTAGAACAGAAATAGAACAGAACTAGAACAGAACTAGAACAGAACTAGAACAGAACTAGAACAGAACTACAACAGAACTAGAACAGAACTAGAAAAGAACTAGAACAGAACTAGAACAGAACTACAACAGAACTAGAACAGAACTAGAACAGAACTAGAACAGAACTAGAACAGAACTAGAACAGAACTAGAACAGAACTAGAACAGAACTAGAACAGAACTAGAACAGAACTAGAACAGAACTAGAACAGAACTAGAACAGAACTAGGACAGAACTAGAACAGAACTAGAACAGAACTAGAACAGAACTAGAACAGAACTAGAACAGAACTAGAACAGAACTAGAACAGAACTAGAACAGAACTAGAACAGAACTAGAACAGAACTAGAACAGAACTAGAACAGAACTAGAACAGAACTAGAACAGAACTAGAACAGAACTAGAACAGAACTAGAACATAACTAGAACATAACTAGAACATAACTAGAACAGAACTAGAACAGAACTAGAACAGAACTAGAACAGAACTAGAACAGAACTAGAACAGAACTAGAACAGAACTAGAATAGAACTAGAACATAACTAGAACATAACTAGAACAGAACTAGAACAGAACTAGAACAGAACTAGAACAGAACTAGAACAGAACTAGAACAGAACTAGAACAGAACTAGAACTAGAACAGAACTAGAACAGAACTAGAACAGAACTAGAACAGAACTAGAACAGAACTAGAACAGAACTAGAACAGAACTAGAACAGAACTAGAACAGAACTAGAACAGAACTAGAACAGAACTAGAACAGAACTAGAACAGAACTAGAACAGAACTAGAACAGAACTAGAACAGAACTAGAACAGAACTAGAACAGAACTAGAACAGAACTAGAACAGAACTAGAACAGAACTAGAACAGAACTAGAACAGAACTAGAACTAGAACTAGAACAGAACTAGAACAGAACTAGAACAGAACTAGAACAGAACTAGAACAGAACTAGAACAGAACTAGAACAGAACTAGAACAGAACTAGAACAGAACTAGAACAGAACTGGAACAGAACTAGAACAGAGCAAGAACAGAACTAGAACAGAACTAGAACAGAACTAGAACAGAACTAGAACAGAACTAGAACAGAACTAGAACAGAACTAGAACAGAACTAGAACAGAACTAGAACAGAACTAGAACAGAACTAGAACAGAACTAGAACAGAACTAGAACAGAACTAGAACAGAACTAGAACAGAACTAGAACAGAACTAGAACAGAACTAGAACAGAACTAGAACAGAACTAGAACAGAACTAGAACAGAACTAGAACAGGACTAGAACAGAACTAGAACAGAACTAGAACAGAACTAGAACAAAACTAGAACAGAACTAGAACAGAACTGGAACAGAACTAGAACAGAGCAAGAACAGAACTAGAACTGGCGACATAAAAATTCGTTAACATTTTTATCCATTTGCCTCTACTCGACTACCGTTAAGTCATCGATGTTGTTATTTTGACCGCGATTTTTTTTCATTTTCTCGCATTTCATCCAAAATCCGAAAAACTCAATGAATTTAAATCTAAACAAGTGATGAATAACAAATGAAATATTTTTTCTCTAAAAACCAACAAAAATTGTATAAGGCAGGCAACTGGAGCAAAAATCCATCAATAGTTTTAGGCGAAAAAAATCTAAACATGTCCTAGTAACATTTAAAACTTTCTAAATTTTTCAAAAGTTTGGTAGTGTTTTCACAAAAAAATGCAAAAACGATATGCACTAGGATTTAAATAATTTAACCAATATATTTTTTTCATTTTTGTTGAACATTTCCTTTTAGAGGATTGTTATAATAAAATAACAGCAAAAAAATATAAACTACATTTGGCCACAAATCCGCCATAAACAAAAACAAAGTAAACCACTGCAAATTCAAATATACGACTACTAAAAGCTTAAACACAGTTTTTATTTTATTTCCATTTATTTTCTTTTTTTCGTTTAGAAAATGACACTCAATAACCGCAGATTTGAAATTCCTCTTACAAAAAAATACAGCTCTACAACAAAGGGAAAAAATACAAAAAATAGCAACAAAATAATATACAACGCTGAAAACAATAAAAAAGTGCAGTAAAAAACTAACGACAACACAGTTACATAGAGGAAATAAAATCTATGTTACAGTTTTAAAAAAGAAAATAACACTAGTAGTGCTACTAGTTTAAGTTCGAAGAACCACATTAACTACTTAGTTGTTGTTTCGCACATCGACCATTAAAACTCGCCACTGAAATTTCGTTTCTATGCTCTAGCAAATTTTTACGAACTTCGTTAAATTTTCTTTATGATTGTAGCAATAAATATAGAGTAGAGTTTTTAAGTGCTAGTGTGCCTGGGTTATTAGACATACGACCAGCAGCTAAATAGTGACATCATCTATTAAAGAATCCTTATTTTACAAGTCTACAATTTATGTGAAGTGTATATATGGCCGGGTGTGGAGTTTGTAACTATACTCTAGTTTATAGTCAAAGATTGCCTAGTCTTTTATCGAGACTATAGTCTAGTCTACAGTCTAGTCTATAGTATGGTCTATAGTTTAGTCTATAGTCTAGTCTACAGTCTAGTCTATAGTCTAGCCTTAAGTCTATAGTCTATATTCTACAGTCTAGTCTAGACTGGTCTAGTCTTATCTAATCTAGTCTATAGTCTATAGTCTATAGTCTAGTCTATAGTTTAGTCTAGTCTAGTCAAGTCTAGTCTAGTCTAGTCTAGTCTAGTCTAGTCTAGTCTAGTCTAGTCTAGTCTAGTCTAGTCTTGTCTAGTCTAGTCTAGTCTATAGTCTAGTCTAGTCTATAGTGTAGTCTAGTCTATAGTCTAGTCTATAGTCTAGTCTATAGTCTATAGTCTAGTCTATAGTCTATAGTCTAGTCTATAGTCTATAGTCTAGTCTATAGTCTACAGTCTAGTCTAGTCTAGTCTACAGTCTAGTCTAGTCATAGTCATAGTCATAGTCATAGTCATAGTCTAGTCTAGTCTAGTCTAGTCTAGTCTAGTCATAGTCTAGTCTAGTCTAGTCATAGTCTAGTCATAGTCTAGTCATAGTCTAGTCATAGTCTAGTTATAGTCTAGTCATAGTCTAGTCATAGTCTAGTCATAGTCTAGTCATAGTCTAGTCATAGTCTAGTCATAGTCTAGTCATAGTCTAGTCATAGTCTAGTCATAGTCTAGTCATAGTCTAGTCATAGTCTAGTCATAGTCTAGTCATAGTCTAGTCATAGTCTAGTCATAGTCTAGTCATAGTCTAGTCATAGTCTAGTCATAGTCTAGTCATAGTCTAGTCATAGTCTAGTCATAGTCTAGTCATAGTCTAGTCATAGTCTAGTCATAGTCTAGTCATAGTCTAGTCATAGTCTAGTCATAGTCTAGTCATAGTCTAGTCATAGTCTAGTCATAGTCTAGTCATAGTCTAGTCATAGTCTAGTCATAGTCTAGTCATAGTCTAGTCATAGTCTAGTCATAGTCTAGTCATAGTCTAGTCATAGTCGTCATAGTCTAGTCATAGTCTAGTCATAGTCTAGTCATAGTCTAGTCATAGTCTAGTCATAGTCTAGTCATAGTCTAGTCATAGTCTAGTCATAGTCTAGTCATAGTCTAGTCATAGTCTAGTCATAGTCTAGTCATAGTCTAGTCATAGTCTAGTCATAGTCTAGTCATAGTCTAGTCATAGTCTAGTCATAGTCTAGTCATAGTCTAGTCATAGTCTAGTCATAGTCTAGTCATAGTCTAGTCATAGTCTAGTCATAGTCTAGTCATAGTCTAGTCATAGTCTAGTCATAGTCTAGTCATAGTCTAGTCATAGTCTAGTCATAGTCTAGTCATAGTCTAGTCATAGTCTAGTCATAGTCTAGTCATAGTCTAGTCATAGTCTAGTCATAGTCTAGTCATAGTCTAGTCATAGTCTAGTCATAGTCTAGTCATAGTCTAGTCATAGTCTAGTCATAGTCTAGTCATAGTCTAGTCATAGTCTAGTCATAGTCTAGTCATAGTCTAGTCATAGTCTAGTCATAGTCTAGTCATAGTCTAGTCATAGTCTAGTCATAGTCTAGTCATAGTCTAGTCATAGTCTAGTCATAGTCTAGTCATAGTCTAGTCATAGTCTAGTCATAGTCTAGTCATAGTCTAGTCTAGTCATAGTCTAGTCATAGTCTATTCTATAGTTTAGTTTAATCTAGTTTGTAGTCTTGTCTATAGTCAAATCTAATCTAGTAGTCTTGCCTATAGTCTAGTAGTCATGTTAATAGTTTAGTCTTTAGTTTTGTTTATAGTCTAGTTATAGTTTAGTCTATAGACTAGTCTAACTGTATGTGTTAGAGCCTTTATATTCAGTCGACAACTTGAGCATTATTCCGATACAAATACATATGTATTTGAATATTCGTTACCATTTTAGTAGAAATACCCCTTATTTGTCATTGATCGGTTATTTCAGCATGGAATCCCCAATAAAATTTAAGTAAACGTCAGAATGAAAAAAATTTAATAATTTAATTTTTTTTTTATTTTCTTATGTTTATATTCATTTATTTAAATCAAAAATTTATTTTATTTATTAATGACTCATAGTACAGTGCTAATATTTACTTTTTCTGTTCTATAAAACCGGTATTTATGAACAAAAGTGTTTTAAAGATTTCATTATTTCAAGGGGGAGTCCCTCGTTCAAATTGATAAGGGAGACATAATAAATAAATATATACAAATGTATGTATGCTTATCATTATAAGTGAGAGTATAAGATGAAAAATTTGCTAAATTATAAATAATATTTCTTAAAAATATACTAAATACAAAGAGATCACTAAATGGGTGTTTCGCAATATCGCAAACCACAAGTTGTTGTACATAATCAGTAAGTGCAAACTTTTAATGGAAAGTCCCATATGCAGATAATTGGAAATTCCGAGTATTGTAGGTACTTTTGTAGAGACAATATTGACAACAATAAGTAAAAACTTTATAAATAGAAACACAATCTGTATACTTTCTACTGTGTAATTTAAGCTCTTAAACTGTACAGATGTGCTTGCGCAAAATGTGGCAAAATAGTTTTAAAATTTGTGTAATTATAGGTCTAATTTCAATGGCCGTAGCCACTTACAAGCCTCAAGTGTCGACCACTATATTGGATGGTAATTTATGGTCAAGTTAGTAGAGTTTAAAAAAATTTATTAAATAAATCTATTTTAAAGGGTTTCCCAATGACTTAAATATTCAACCATTTGTAAGTGTGGGCAATAAATTGTATCATTTTGGTCAAAGCAAGGTAAGTTACCCGGGAAAATTTAATAAAAATCTTATTCAATTAATAACTTTTCTAAGTCACTTGGTATAAAGCCTTCTTAATTTGTCGTTCTCTGGGCGGTTTCTTAGCCTCTGTTGATTCTCAACAAGAACTGGCCGCCTTATCAGATTATATGATTGGCAAATACCCGTTGGATCGTTGGTGGTGGTTATCTGGTTCTGATCTGGATTCTGAAGGTGATTTCTACTGGTATCGTACCGGTGAACGTATTAGTTATGCTGACTGGTCTACAGGTCAACCTGATAATGCCGGTGGTCATGAAAATTGTGTACATCTGTGGTATCAAAATCCGAAATATCAAATGAATGATTGGATGTGTAATCAGCAGGCCTATTATGTTTGTGAAGCTGATAAGCCGAAAACGATAGCTATAAGTGTGTTTTAAGTGAAATGTGACTGAAGAAATTTGAATTTTTAATAACATATTTAGTACATTAAAATATAAATTATTAAAGAAATTTATGTTAAATGTTCTTAATTTAAGAACTTTTGCCAAACACAGTCGGGTTAATAGGTTGTCGTGTTAGAATGTGAATGTACTTAACGTGAACACCTGCCTTGAAGGTCTTATTTCACGGTGGTTTCAATCACTTGGGATAGTCCACCACTCGCTCCTGAATCCTTCAATGAAAAACTCAGGTGGCAGTTCTTTTTACATGGCTTTGACGGTCCATGCGCAAGCATCTTGTTCAAGTACTCGAGCTACCTAATCTCTTGCCATACCAGTCCCGTTGCTGAATGACAGACAGCATGAGATCAATCTCAAAGCATACCCCGACAAGGAAAAAGCAATCACTGGTCTAAAGTCAATGGAAGAGGTTACCCCAATAGCAGATGAAATCAATCTTCCGCTATCTTACGGCGTATGATGACCATCTATTTGATGTCATGAAAGATTGCAGTATTTAAAATGCAATGATCCATTCCATTGCATTCCTTAACCTCTTAAAGCCCGGGCTTTAAGCTGAGATGGCCCTGTTGAGTCAGCAACAGCAATTTGTCCGAACTGCAACCGAAGATAGTTAAATCCGATCCGTTTTTGGCTAAATCATATGACTGTCTTAACAGCAGGGATTTAAAATAGGATGATGTCAGACAGACGACCCAGCCAGAGGTCATATAGTAGCTTGCAGTATGTTGTTATTGTCAATAATTCAACACAACACTACAGTTATTAGGAACAAGAGAGATTCTTGTTCCACATACGTCGCAGAAAATACCAGATCCAACACAGTACGTTATTTTAGAATCATCTGTATAGTTTTTGTCCATATATTTGCAGGCCAGACATGCTTATCTCGGAAATTTATTAATTTCCAGTCCATTATACTAAAGATCCAGGATCTATGAAACATGATTAAGGAAGGGCAAAATGAAAATATTCTGTAATGTCAGGTCATGATGTAGTTTTTACTTATACTTGATGTACAATGGCTTTGTCATCCACCAGGTGGACTATCGCCCCAGAATGTCTTCAAAGAAGAACGCATCTCTGACGCCGCACTTTGTTCAAGTACTCGACCTTCCAATCTCTTTCCACAGTAGTACTGTTGTGAAATAATAGGCATCATGAGTGAAACTCTATGAAAGAGTGAAATCCTATGAGAGACAATCACTCAGTTGAGTCCATAGAGAGAGGGGTTCCCTAATGCCCAAAAATCGCAAATATGCATCTGCAGATGGTTTCAATCACAAGTAATAGTGGTGGGTTTCAATGACCACTATTACTTGTACATCGAGTAAACCTTATTAATGCCAGTACTGAAATAATTTACTGACTCCCTTAGTATCTGACCAAGAGATATGGTCAAACCTCAACTACTTCGGAGTTAATTGACTCCAGCTAGTCCCTGCAAATTAAAGGTATTATTAGAGAGTATAAACTTTGAGATTGATATGACACCCATTTCATTGGGGGCACTTTGATGTACAGAAGTCGAGTGTTCTCGGCCTATTTCATGGTGGTATTTTATCAACCACCGGCCGATAACTCAGCATTGCCCCTTTGTGCCTTGTAAAGGACACATATTTGGCAACATTTGTACATGATTGAGCCAGTCCATGTACAAGCACTTTTCTCAACTACTCGAGCTTCCGAGATGCAAAGACATCACTTCCCTTTACAACTAACTACGCAGATGCGATGGTCTCTGATGATTCGACAACATCACCTAGAGTCGTATTCGGTAAATAGAAATATGAATCCAAGTCATAGACAAGTTCTTACTCGGCGAGAACACACTGTGTGCACGTCTGGTATGAACAGTGCAAACTATAAGCGTACCCTGACCCGGAAGAGAAATTCAATGGTGTAACTTGTATAAGATACTGTTCATCCATCATCATTCAATCCAGTATTTGTAATTCTCATTTATCCGATATATTAATTGAGAAATACTTTCGACACCGAGATTTTGGGTGTACACTACAACCACAACTATGTGCATCCTAAAGGGACCTCTCCAATAACCGGGATAAGACAAAATCCGAAACTCTTCCCCTACTACCGTTAAAGATATGTTCTCTACTTCGACTCCAGGTTAAATTATTCCAAGGATATATTTGGCAACCGCCAGATTACGAATACTGGGATAAATTTGAGGCTAAGCTTTCAAGAAATGTATCCCTCTATGGGACAAATTGCGATATGCAGTTGAGCTTATTAGCGTACTATTTATTCGACTATGTCCAGTTTGCTACTCTTTTATGCCAATAGCTTAAAAGGAAATGTGTAAAACAATCTGTAGAAAAAAATCTAGAGGAAAAACCGCATAGAATTAAAGAGAAAATTGTAAGCAAAACAACACTATATATTGTAGCAGGAGCAACAAACAAGCAAAATAGGAAAAGGCAACAGCAACGACGACAATATACAGAAACTGTCATTAGCATTTAAAAACATTGACAGTTTTAGCATTTGCCACATATGCACTAAGTGTTGCTCTTGTTGCTACTACTGCTGCCACACAAGGTATGTAAGAGAGAATAATACAAAACAATGCAATTACCACACTAGGGAACAACAAAATTCACTCAAAGTGTCCCTTTCATTGAAGGTTTCTATTGTATATAGTTTTTTCTATTGGTTTTGTCTATTAAAATACTTTATGTTTTGTTTGCTACATGCCACTCTCCGTACTGAAACTAAACCACATATTTCAACAGCAGTTAGTAGTTTAAGGGAAAAATAAAAAAAATATATAAAAATAAAATGTTGCAAGTTAAAAAAGAAATTGTTTACAGAAAATTGGGTTAATTAGAAAAATAATGTTAACGAATTCTTTGTATAAAAGTTAACTTCCTTTTTTCCTTTTTAGTATTTGCTAGTTTTTTTCTAGTTCTTTATCATTTTGCTGCTTTAAAGCAGAATAATAAATCGTAATTTTAGTTTTTTTTTCAGTTGAAAATCCATGACGGTGGGAAAATTATGAAAAAAAGACATGTTAAGACTTGTTTGGTCAGGTGGCAGCTGCTATCTGATCTTGACTTAAACTCGCCAAAAAGCGCTGAAATGTCTTTAAAGCTTTTGTACTCAAACCGGCAAATTGCAAAAATTTCCTATTGGTTCATAATTTGTATAAAAAATCTCTGTAAACTAACTCATACATACATTGTTGCTTACTTGCCATATGTTGCAAGTTTGTATATGCGAAGCTTAGACTAAATCTTTCTCTACAAACGTACAAACATCCCCACATATCCACACATACATATACATATATTTTCCGCTTAAGTGTAAACAGATTTTATTTGTTTAAATGGTTTTCTAACCCTGGGAAACACAATAAAAGCTAAAAGCAGCTTAAAAAAATATATATTATGCCACAAACTCACACACATACAAGCATACATATGTAGTAGAAAATACACTGCAGCGTGTAAATGTTAAAGGATCATCATAAATATAAGAAGCATAACGAAGTTGCAAAAACACAACATGACATTATAAATGTAGTCCCATAAAAGGCAAAACATAAAGAGTAAAGTTTGAAGGGATTGACTGAAATAGAGCAATTATCATAAAAAACTAGTTAAATTATATTGTAGGAAAAATATAAGTTTGTAGTAAGAAAAACTTAAAGGAAAAATTCAACAGCGTAAAACGAACATACTATAGCCCAGACTATAAAGTATTCTATACTCTGGACTGTAGAATAGTCTATAGTCTAGTTTATAGAGTAGTCTATAGAATGGGCTATTGAATAGTCTATAGTCTGGACCATAGAATAGTCTACAGTCTGGACTAAAGAATAGTCTATAATATGGACTATAGCATAGTAGAATAGTCTATAGTCTGACCAACAGAATAGTCTATAATCTGAACTATAGAATAGTCTATGGTCTGGAATATAGAATTGTCTACATTTCGGGTCATAGAATATTCCATATTCTGAACCATAGAACAGTCTATAGTCTGGACAATAGAACAGTATATAGTCTTGACTATGTAACAGGCTATAGTCTGGACTATAGAATAGTCTATAGTCTGGACAATAGAATAGTCTATAGTCTGGATAATAGAATAGTCTATAATCTGGACAATAGAACAGTCTATAGTCTGTACCATAGAACAGTCAATAATCTGGACTATAGAACAGTCTATAATCTGGACTATAGAACAGTCTATAATCTGAACTATAGAACAGTCTATAATCTGGACTATAGAACAGTCTATAGTCTGGACTATAGAACAGTCTACAGTCTGGACTATAGAACAGTCTATAGTCTGGACTATAGAACAGTCTATAGTCTGGACAATAGAACAGTCTATAGTCTGGACAATAGAACAGTCTATAGTCTGCACTATAGAACAGTCTATAGTCTGGACTATAGAACAGTCTATAGTCTGAACTATAGAACAGTTTTTAGTCTGGACTATAGAACAGTCTATAGTCTGGACTATAGAACAGTCTATAGTCTGGACAATAGAACAGTCTATAGTCTGGACAATAGAAGAGTCTATAGTCTGCACTATAGAACAGTCTATAGTCTGGAATATAGAACAGTCTATAGTCTGAACTATAGAACAGTCTATAGTCTGGACTATAGAACAGTCTATAATTTGGACTATAGAACAGTCTATAGTCTGGACTATAGAACAGTCTATAGTCTGGACTATAGAACAGTCTATAGTCTGGACTATAGAACAGTCTATAGTCTGGACTATAGAACAGTCTATAGTCTGGACTATAGAACAGTCTATATTCTGGACTATAGAATAGTCTATAGTCTGGACTATAGCACAGTCTACATTCTGGACTATAGCACAGTCTATATTCTGGACTATAGAACAGTCTATAGTCTGGACTATAGAACAGTCTATAGTCTGGACTATAGAACAGTCTATAATTTGGACAATAGAACAGTCTATAGTCTGGACTATAGAACAGTCTATAGTCTGGACTATAGAACAGTCTATAGTCTGGACTATAGAACAGTCTATAGTCTGGACTATAGAACAG